TCTGTGTGTGTGTGTGTGTGTGTGTGTGTGTGTGCTGAAGAAGAAGAAGAAGAAGCTCCAGAGGGAAGAGGAGAGCAATGGAGAACAGAGGGAGAAGAGGAAGAAGAAGAAGTCCTTTCTCTTTCTCTCTCTGTGCACACAAGCCACTAACCTGTGGAAAGGTGACGCCTTGATGCAGGTGGGGACGTATTGAAGACGAGCTGGAGCGATGGTGTCGCAGGTGAGTCGACAGGTAACTCCCTCGGCCTCCGCCTCAACTCTCCCTCCTACTGCAGCTCGACTGCAGTGCTCCCTCTTTCTCTCCTAACCTCGCGCCCAGCACTGCGGACTGACCTAATGGCGCCCAGAGCGTCGACTAACCTCCGTACTAACGCAGAGCTACCTAGAGAACTACGATCGGACTCACAGGTCGCCCAGCTATATATAATGCTGGACTGTGGTGAGTTCAGCCTCAAAGTGTGTGGCACCCAAACTGGCACTCAACTGAAAACCGGTGCCAGAACTGGCGACAAAATGCAACTGGGCCTGAAACGGCCTGGCGCCTAACTGATGGCGCTCGAACGAACTGGTGGCCTGGGGCCGAAACAGAACTGCGCCACGGCCTGTGCTAACCCACTGCGGCCTCACTGGGCCCTCTACCAAAATGGTATCGGCCTAACCTGGCCTACTAACCCCCGCGGTGCCTGGTTCTGCCGAAACGACACTGGTCTCTAAACTAGCCCCTAGGACCCTGCTAACCCCTAAGCCAACCGATGGGCCTAATGGCCCCGTATGGAATCTGTGGAATGCCACAGGAGATCTACCGGATATTGTTTCACATCTAGTCTTTGAAGTTTATAGTGGAATAACATCGGAGGGAGACATGAGGTCCTTTTTCTTCTCTCTCTTTCTTCTTCATTGTTACGTTCCTGGCCAATTTCGAAGTATACATACATCAGAAAGTACAATGCCATCCAATTGCAAAAAGAAATGAATGAACTTGAGAGGAGAGAGAGGGAAAGAAGAAGAAGAAGTAAGAAAGAAGAAGAAGATGATGTACTGCAGCATAGACCAATGACAAGGCTCGTCTTCTTCGCCAACCAATCTCCTCCTCCTTATCTCCTCCCCTCTTATTCAAACAAGAAATAACAATAATAATGTTGAATGGCTGAACCAGAATCAATGTCCGAATCCCACTTATACTGCAGGCACAACATGAGGTCCACCATAGCCATGGCCACCCTTCTCCTTCCTCTCACATGTAGGCCAAGGCTATGGCGGACTACTGAGGGCTCAACCCTCCTGTCCAAAGGACAACCCAAAGCAGCTATGTCGCTGCCTCCCTGTGCAAAGGACAATGCAACACTAGGCCGCCATGCCTGCCTCTGCCCCAAGCTTCCTTGGTGCAGCACTACCCCAACGGGGGCCTTCCAGATGCAGCGCCTAACAAGGTGATGAAGATGGTGTCCACCATAGCCAGGTAGGTACCTCGCCACTCTCCTCCTTAGTCCCCGTCTCCCTCCTCCTCCTACCGGTAGAGCTCCACCATAGCCAAGGTGGAAGCTCCCGGCTTCTTCCTCCCAGCAGCGCTGTAGTACCCAGCGCTAGTCCAGCCAGCGCTCCAGCAGCGTGTCTCCAAACTTGCACACTGAAGAATGAGGCCGGGCTCTTCCCTCGGCCTCTTGATATAGCGGCCTACTTGCCTCCTGGGCGGTGACTTCCAGGCCGCTCGGCCTCCCAAGCAACCAGTACCTCCTCCCTTCCGGAGGGAAACATCATTGCAGACTCTGATATTGCCCGAACAGGCTCTAGACTCGGACTGGATGGACTGGTACCGGCCTAGACCTAGCCTACCGCTACTGGGCCTCTAAAAATGCCAACTTTGTCTTCTTCTGCTCGGCCTCGAGTTCCCGGCACATCTACTGCTACTGGGTGTGGTACCGGCCTACCTGCTAGTTGAGTGTTTTTCCGCTGCTCTAAGTGCCGCGAGCCTCTTGAGTGTTTTCCCCTGCTGCAACCCTCAATGCCACGGCCACAGGTAAGTACCGGCCCTACGGGCCTGCCAAACAAGCAAGTACCCTTGTGGGTCAC